CTCTTAGGTTTCAGGAATTTTTTTTAAATCACCCCTAAGTTTCAAAAGCAGAATAAATATATGAGTTCAAAAGTCTGAAAAAACTTTGTTTTACAACTTAGATTAATATTTGGTTTGGATATTAACTGAATTTTTTTGGAAAAGAACCACTATCTTATTTCTTCTTCAGCTATGTTCTTTTGAGAGGTAGGGTTAGTATAATCAATTCAATCTGCTATGAAACTATAATCTGCATAAACTTGAGTTTCCTGCTGATACATAATTGCTTGAGGGTTTGATACATAATTGCTTCTACTCTTCCCCTTAATATTTAAAATATTAATGAAAACAGAATTTGATCTCAGTCTCCCATAGGGTGGGATCAGAAATGATATATAAGTGGAATGAAAGAGGCAACACATGAAAATAAATGTAATATTCTTTTGTGATGTATGGATCTCCTATTATTTTAATCCAATTTAAAGCATGAAAAATGACCAAGATGACAGTGTTAGAGGTCCTGGTCTGAAAAATGTAGGTTAAGAGGAGCCTCATAATACTTCACTCTTCTCTGTACTCTATATAATAATCACTCTATCACTATTTCCTTGTGGATTTGAACACTGGAATTTCATTCCTGCCTATCCTAGTCTGTACCTGTTTTTTCCAGCTTGAAAACAAGTACTCCAGGTAAAATGTGTACAATTTCATATCTCAAGCCCAAGACATAACTAAAGAGTGCTTTGTTTCCAAAATTATGCATGAGAGATGAGCAAATTTGGAAACTTGGTAGGAAGGGGGAGTGGGAAAAATAATGTGAGAGCTGGACTACACATTCGTAATTCTTTGTGTCAGACAGGGTCTTATATACAGAGAAGAAATCTTTATCAATGACAACACAGAATTGTGAGCAACCATAGAGAGAAAGTAATATATTCTCTCATTTATATATTTATCAGACTGATACACTGTTGTATCACAAGGACTGTCAGTGGTTAACAGAACAATAAAGTCTGTAGCATAATAACAATTAAAACATCTACAGTAAATAATCAATACAATAGAAAATAAAAGTAAAACCGCCCACACAATGGCAACATCCCAATTAATTTCCTAAAATCCATCAGACTGATTTAGTGTTAACTAGTTTCCAGAAGGCTACAACAGCAGGGCATAATCTAGCCTTAAGAAGAGGGTATTCCAAAGTACTACAGTCATTACTGCTATTACTGGAAAGCAACCTCATGAAAATAGGGGCATCAACCAGCAGTTGCTCTCAGGAGTGTTTTATGAGATGGGTCAACTCTGGCTGGAGAAGACAGTCATGAAGGCACTAGATGCCAAGCCATAAAAAGCTTTGTAAATTAAAGCCAGAAGTTTGAAACACATCCAGCCACCTATGCAGGGCCTGCCATAGTGGTGTAATATTGTTATGGCAACACATACCAATCCAGCAGTGGACTGCTGTGTTCTAGGCCATGACTAAGTGGTCTTCAACTTCAGTCCTGCCACTTCATCTGGTCTTCTGAATTGCTAGCAGGCGGATCAGCAATTTATAAAAATGGCTCTTCATTATTTCAGGAAACAATTAATATCAATTTGTTTGGGCAAGCAAACAAAAAGATTGTGAGCCAGTAGCTTTTATGGACTAATCTGTAAGCCAGTTTTTGCATGGTGCTACATAACACTTTGCTTTAAACTTTCTCCTCAGCCCTCTGAATGTCATACTGTTGTCCATTCTATTTGGGACGATTCCCATCTGTCCACAGAGAATTTTCAAGAGGACTCTGAGGCAGGCAGAAGAGACGGGTAGGAAAGAAAATATAAAATCATATATGGCCATGGCCATCCTAAAAAGTATCGGAAATACCAACAACAGGTGATCTAAAATTAGAAAGGCCCTTTACCAAACAACATGAATTTTTAATGATGATAACTAGCTTTGTCAAGATTCCTATAATCTGCAAATATCACCTCATTAATAAAAGATAAATTATGCTTTCCAAATACTTGAATCCATATTTGTATATTTCTGTGGCTATGGAGAAGTAATTAGTCAATGCCTTGTTCTTACACAAATTTTATCCTAAACAAAACTGGGCAGGAATATATAAATACTTCCCCTAATTTAAGGCAGCATCTCCAGAAACCCATCCATCGCTATTTAAATTCCAACATGGAACTGGAGAGCTCTTTGGGACCACTAAAGAATGAATGAGTGAACGAACAAAAGAAATGTTCTTTATATATTACTATTACCGTAATTATTTACAGCCTACATTTTAGGATACAAATCCTATCAGGTACTATACAATAGCATGCACATCTAAACTTACTCAGATACACTTATATATTAAAACACATCTCCTACATTTGAAATCTAGTGATGATTTGCTTAACCTCATAACATTTTAGGAATTAAAGAAGAATGATTTAAAAATATCCAAATAGTGACAACAGAGAATACATTTTGAGTAAGTGTTCATCATATAACTTACATCCCACCCAATTCAACAGGCACTGGGTGGCTCACTTAAAAATATTTTTTTTAAAACGTGAAACCTTTTTAAGTGGGTATTTTTTAGGCATTTAATCCACGTTTTACACTTAAAATGCTTTGTTTTTAGTGTAGGGGATTTTTTAACATTCTTATAGTTTTTATACTACAATTAAGTATAATTGTATACTTTTGACATTTATAAGAGAGTATTGACATACGGCTTCCCAGAATAGACCCTTCTATGCATTCCACATAATCACTAATTGCCTGAGTTCATGGAATATTCCTTTCTAGAAACTACAGTGACAAACAATGTCCTTTGTTAAGAAGAACATCTGATGAGCTTGCAGCTGATTATTAGATCATCAACTTCATGCTTGATTTCCAAACAAAAGGTGGCTTCATGCTCACTAACAAGACTTGACACAATACTGCAGTGTGCCAATAAGCACGGAACTTTGCCAGAAATGGTGCCTTTTTGCTTCTATAACTGCATTTCAACCATGTTATTTTCTCAGAGCATAAACAGAACCATATGAAATTCTTTAAGCTCCAAGAGGCTGCCGTCATGTTGTTTTTATTTTATCACAAATGCAAAAAGTTTGTCATGCTTCCCAAGAGGACATTCAAGAGTGAATTTTTATGCATCATCGTCACTTCCTTAAATTATTCCACATTACTAAAGATTGCCTTATGTTATATTATATTATGCATGCATTAATAATCGTATACAAATCTAACACCTGTGAGTGCATACACACACACCCAAATTTCATTCTCCTTTTGAGGTGCAAATATTCATAAGCAAGTTTCTGCTTTCTACACAAACACAAATACATTAGTACACACGCATCCACAATTAATTAATGCTGTGATGGGCTTCATGTTAATTCCTAGAGAAGGGCTCTCTCTGTAAAGAATTTAATATATGAAGCTAAATTGCTTTTTTCCGGCAAGCAAACTTTGAAAGGCAAGACCCAAATATTTTGGCAGACTTTTCAGGTTCTGTCTCTCCCTAGGGGGGAAAAAAATCTAAAACATAAGTAAAATTCCTAGTCACTAATGTACTGACTAATCTAAATTTATAAAAGCGAGAGAGTATATTTAAGCACTTAAATCTTCTATAGAACACTATCATTTTCCTTGAAATGTTCAACAGGAAAATGAAAAATATAGTTCAAAATAATTGTCTTTAGATTGTCTTTGAACATCTTTTTTGTTCAAAGATGCTTTATATAAGTTTACTGAATATATAAAATTATGCCTGTTATTAACTCCAAAAACAAACAAAAAGACCCCAACCAAATAATATGCCAATACCTTTCTGCATAATCCCATCTCAGAGATGAGGGAAAAAAATCTATTTTTATCTGTGGCATCCTGCCTTTGAAACAGTCTTGCTTCAATCTTTTGTCATTAAACGAATATTATTTTCCCCAATGTTCTTAAATAACCTGCCTTTTACTTTTAATTATTGTTGTTGCCTTCATCACACATTTTATGTCTGATTAATTTATTCTACTCATTTAATTTCTTAAATCATTTCATCTGAAATTACTCCCATTTTTTTAAGAGTGAAATCTATAAATAAAAATATTTATTGTGTGTGTGTGTGTGTGTGTGTGTGTACACATACTGCAAGACCTCAATAAATACTATATAAAATCTGGATAAGTAGCTTTATCCCAAGATAAACCCTTGTGCTTCAAGTACTAATATAACTTTTGATTTTTCATTCTGTACTCAAAATTTAAAACAGAGAAACAATGTTGTGTCTGGGGGGAAAAAAACAGGAGTGCAGCAAAATGGAAATAAATGTCTTACAGCAAAGAGAATATAACAGGACATTATATGTGGGGCAAAGAAGAGGGTGACAGGGTATGAGATGATTCAAAAGAAATAAGAGACTGACAGAGGAAAGAAACAGGACATTCCTATTGGAAAAAAACTGGGATGGAGAACAAGACAAAAGGAATACAATTAAGATATACTATTTTTATGCCTTGACGAGACAGAGACATAGTATTATAATGGATAACAAAATAAAACACAAGAAAGAATGTCTATAAAAATATTTAGCCTCAAAAGAGTAACCAAATAGCTAAGTGAAAATAGCAAAGTGACAAAATAAAATATTGACTGGGGAAAAAAAGAGTTTTAAAACCATGAGAATTATTAGTACGCGCATCTTAATTCTTACCCAAAAATTAAATAAAAGTGCAATGTTATCTATGTCTGCTCATAAATACCTTCTGTTGAATTCAGTGGGATTTCTTCTTAGTTTGATGTGAACTAATTTGCAGCACAAGACAAACAAAGCACAAACTTAAAAAATAATAAAAAGCATCAATGTAGGAAGCAAATAAAAGAAATAATAAAAAATAAGTAAATTGTAGTTCAGTTTGGAGGCCACCCTAGGTACATTCTACTCTGAGAACAGCAAAAAAGATATTCAATAATGGCACAGCTTTTATGAATCACAGGACAACTTATCTTCTTGCAATGTTGATACAATGCCTTGTTAACAAGAGAATTATGGCCCGATAATAGATGTTGAACTCAAAACATTTCACTTACTCGGCAATCCCTTTGTAGTGTTTTCATCAGTGCGCTATAGGTTTCCGAGTCAAAATATAATCCTTCGTGCAAATCTTGCAAAAAATCCAAGTCTTTAAACGTGGGGTTAGACTTCTCTCGTTCCTTTCTGGATGCTCTTCTTTTGTATGTAGAGCCTTTCAAGTCATAGTTGTAATGCATTTTCAGTGCTCGAGGCAGAACATTGTTCATCACAACTATCCTGATATTAATACCCCCCGATTGAACACAATACAGGCCATAAAATTTGGGTAAGAGTGTCCTTGGATTCTGGTTGAGATTCTTAAAAGAAACAAACACAAAAAGTATCAGTGAACATTTGCAATACAATATATTCCAGATCAGAATTCTACAAAGAAGTAAATATAGACAGGCAAAACAGTTCTACTTCAACAAGTTATGTTTAGACCTATCACTTAATCATTTTCATATGCTAGTTCAAAGAGTTTAAACTTCAGTCAGGTGATTTCAACTCTTTAGGACTAAGGGAGGTTTCTCAAACTTTGCAGTACCATGCCTACTAAAATGATAAATTAAATCTCTGCAACGTCTTCAAATAAAATTAATGATTGTGTGTAAGGGTTGGACTAAAAATAAATATACCCCTTTTAATAATTTAATTCTAATCTATATATCAGTTCACACAATAAGAGAACCGTATAACTTTATAAAATGAAATCATTTCATTGGAAATAAATAAAAAAATCTCCCACGATAGCATTTAAAACCATTTTTTTAACGGGAATGATGAGCTTTGCTTACTTTTGCATAATTCATTAAATCTGGGTTTCATTCTTAAAACAGCCACTCTCATTCACCCAAGGGGGGCAGGGGAGAGAAAAAGAAAACAGGAAGTTCCTTGCCTTAAATTAGCTTCTTTTAAACTGCTTTTAAAATACTACCGCTTGCAAAACACTGGATGTAAATTGCTTCTGGCACGCTGTCTTCAGGCAGCCACCCTGAGATAACAATCACAGTCCATCTTCTCTTTCCCTTCCTGTCTAGTGCCTGCAAATCCCCCTCCCCACTCTTATAATTTCCTCTTCATAGCTCTCCTCCCTTCCTCTCCATCTAATTCTCTCTGCAGAGTAAGCAGAGAGGTCAGAGTTTTATATAGGAGCCTTCTGCCCTCAGGCACATTACTCCTTCTTTGAAAGACAAATCCGATGCTTTTAAAAACAAAACAAAACAAAACTTCATAGTTTTGCATCAAATTGCTAAACCTGCCCAGAAAGGACTTGCAAGGAGAGCAACACTCTCAAAGCTTAGAAGACTGGAGTAAACAACATGTTTTCTCCTCATTCCTGGAATATGCCCTGCTGAAGACTGTTGGACTTGCTTCTAACTCCTTAGGGTTTGGCTGTTCCAAGAAGATTGGGCTATTCTAAGAGAATAAAAAGGGCTTGAGGATCACATATTCCCTTCACAAGAACAAATTCCATCTTAAATGTGGCTAAGTATATTACTTGGACAGTGATATTAATTACAATGAACAATAACCTCATCTCCCCTCTTATACCAGAATTTCCAATTAGCTTTGAATCCTTATTTAAAGGCAAATTCATTTAGCAAGAATGGAATTTAATATAGCTACTCATGTTATATTTAACTATATCTAAGACAGCCATTAAGCAAATTTTATATAGGTTCCTGTAGACCAGTTTTGAGCTTTCAATCTGCATTGAGCACAACATTGGCATCAATTTTTGGTTCATAAAAAGATTTTTCATACTGAAAAACTGAACAAGCAAGGAAACTGTGTTAAGCTTTGAAACAGAGAAAATAAAAGTTATACTAAGCCAAAAATAATGTGCTCTGTTATGATGCAAAATACTTTATCAATGCACATACAATACAATGAAACAGGATGCAATGGAGTATTGTACAACATGTGACCTATCAGTATCATGATCAATCATCCCACTTATTAAAGAATGTTTGCCTATTAACCTCAGTTTTAATTTTTAATTTTACCCAGTTCTTATATGCACTAAGATAGGAGGACAAATTTAGAGGGAAAATTTAGAGGAAATTTTTAAAATTCAGAAGAACACACATGCAAGAGTTGAACAAGGTAATTAAACATGCACACCCAAATATATACAGAAAAAGAAACCAAATTAAAAAAGGACTTGTATATCTTTACCATGTAGTAGCCAGGCAACAGCTTCTGAAGGAATTCTGCTTCTTTGTGTTGAACCGTTTTGATTATGAATTCATCATCACTAGTGACAAAGAACAAGGATCCACTGGCACCAGGATTGGATAATTCTATTAGCGGTTCACTGCAAATTGAATACTGAATACACAAACAGAAATTTAATGCCATTCTGGGGGATGGAAGTATAGAAGGTGTTTTTTTTGTACTTTATGAAAGGAGGCCAAAGAAACCTTTGTGAACCAAGGTCTTTAAAACACTCCAGATTACTCAACTGTGTCAGAAAAGCAGGTCTAATTAAAAAAAATGAAACAGTAACAAATTCTTCTCCATGACATGGTGTGCTACTTCTGCCCAACTAGCATTTAAGTTTCTTCTAAAGTGTTATTGGTGCTGACTGAAAAGGCCTCCCTAGCAGGCTTTTCTTCTTTAGGACCTTTTTGCATGATTTACTGAGATATGCAAAAAGCTTTA